GCGCGCCTTGCACTGGATTACCGCCGGTGACTTTTCCGATACCATCCAATCAGATGAAAATTACCTAATTAAAGCTTGGAAATGTCTCAGTTCGTACTCGTTGATCTGCGCAACAGTCAAAGTCGCCATCTTTGTTTATATGAGACCCATATATCTCGCACATGCGCAACGCGACGACTACCGCGCTTTAAGTTAACAAAAGTCAAACCAATAAATTAATTACTTGATAAGCCAGAGCCGTGGAATGTACATTTCCGAAACTTCCTTCCTCGTGTTGACAGCTAATCAGGTTACTTATTCCTCGTTGTAAAGTCGAATTAACAGTCGTATCATTTGCAAACTGTGGTCTGTTGGCGAGACAGGACATAGCTGTAACAACCATCGCCGTAGTGTCTGAAAAAGTACAAACATGTATTATCAGAGAAACTGCCAAAAGAGGTTACTTTGAAAGAAAAAAACAAGCAGGATCTCGGCTGAGATAGCTCCGCTGTTAGCAATGCAGATTTCAATTAAAGAACTGAAAATATCATTAGAAAATGAACAATATGTATAGTATCAAAGCAATCGGACTTGCAGTTCGAAAATGTCACTTTTTTACCAAAAATGTCAAAAATATTCATCAAAATTAGAGAATTGAAGATCTCATCATGAAATGAACAAATCTGAGAGAGGTCCTCATGTAGTACCTATATATATAATATCAAAGTAATCGGACAAATGGTTTTACCAAAAATGACAAAAATATTCACCAAAATTAAAATTTTAATAATTTAGAATTACAGATATCATGAAATTAACAAATCTAAGAGATACACCTAGTATCAAAGCATTTAGGCTGGTAATTTTCAAGAAGAAGTCGAAAAAGTAAAAAGTTGGCACGGACGACAACGATGGACAATCATTCATATGATAAGCTCCACTCGACAAAGTCGACAGCGAAGTTAAAGAACATCAAACTCGCCAAGCGATTGGTGACATTACGAAAAATAAACTGTAAAATGTTTCACCTTTATCATCATAAAAATATCCGCCATGAATATCTTGTCCATTTGCAACATCTTGAACATACCGATGCTTAACCAGAGACTTAGTATTACAGAGTGCCAACAGAGCAAGACTGTACTGGAAGTGGTTGTTGAAGTTATCGACTGGGAAGTTATGCATTTTATGTTCCAGAAGTCGAATCAAATCATGTCCGAAAAAGTCCTCGACATTGTGGCACGTAGAATGGAGAGCCAAGATGAAATACGCAAGATGGCCGGGTGATAATTCTTTTAGCTCGTCCTTACTGCCATACGATGGTCTGCGGATGCAACAGATGACGAATGTAAATTTATTTTTATGAATCCCATTAAATTTGTTTGCATTAAATAAATGGTTCTTTTCATTGTAGTTTATCCATACGTTCATCGCTTCAAAAGTGGCAATAGTAGTACGTTGTTTCTTAGATTAGAGTTTGATGTTGGAATATTCCAGTAAAAAAATACCACTGTAAATGTGTACAGCTAGAACATAACACTGAAAATACTTCCTCACGATGAACTACATAGGGCGCAATTGACTAAATATAAAAATTGTTCTTTCATATGACAAAACCTTGATGGCAACCATTATCCAAATATCGGATTACTTACACCCTTTTGCGAGCGCTAAGGAATGTCAATAGTTCAATCTCAAGTTGCTTGATGTTCATTTGGACTCCTAGATCTGTTCTGTTGAACCATGTCTGATTGGTCAGTTGTAGTGAGAGAATAACACTGGGGGTGTGCTCCCAGCCCCACTGGTCATTCTGTTGTGATTTTAACCATTCAGAAGCCTTCGTATATGCCAGGTTGAGTGCCCTCTGTCGTTCATCATTTGTTTCAGAATCTGCAGAGGAGGGCAAAAAGACAAAAATTTTAAAGGAAAGAAAACATTCACATGTAAATGTAAATTATATTTTGTCATTATACTTTATTACTGTGCCAGCCACTACGCTGCGGGGATCGGCAGCCTGAGTGAACTTTTCTCTGGAAACTAACCTATTACTGTGAGGTGAGCTTTTGCTGTTAATGTTAACGACGAGCTCATGGCAGTACAAATATAGTCTCCCTCATCTTCTCGTCTCACATGGGAAATCTGTAACTCCCCTTCCGCGGTGACCGCAAGCCGACCTTCAACTTGATCTGGAAATAGCAGTCCCTTGGAGAGGCAAGAAATAAAAGTAGTTTCAATTAATAATACTAAGATATCCGAATTAAATTTGCATATTTCATATTAAACTTTGAAACAAGATTATTCAAATAAGATTTCACTCTCCGAATGAGTACCCGTCCAACCTTATGATTAATAGTTCATACTATACCTGTTTTCCATATTTCTGCCAGAATTTTATTGGTGCGAGGTTGCCAGTGACGGCGCACTCAAAAGTTGCCGTTTGGTTCAGAGCCACCACCCTGTCGCTCGGCACTACTGTTAACGCTGGCTTATCTAAAAATATAAACTACATCGAATCTGTGCCAAACAATATACAAATAGGACACAAAAATACAATAAAAACACAGTAGTATATTTAATGAACGGTTGGTGGCGCTATACTCAAAGTGGCCCGGGTATGAAATAAAGGCAATAAAAGTAGTTTCGTCGAGTGCCGGGCATCCAATTTCAATATTTGTGATAAAGAATCGAAATTAAACATGATAACAGTTGTCCATCCCCACGCACAGTCGAATATACATAAAGCTCCTTCCAATATAATGTGTCAGCGCAACTGCCGACTACACGATATATTACCATGATTCAATCAATAATACATAGCATAGCTATAACACTCGGCATGGACGTAGGTATCGTCACTGTGACCTTTGAATTAATATGGGCTACTATTAATAAATGTATATTAACGTGTCACCGTATCCATTATACTGTAAATGGGTTAACTATTCACTAGGTTGTAATTTTGCTTATTTCGTTGACTGGAAAATGTGCTAAATTAAAACCCAGTGAATATATAAAACTTAGCATAGAACACATTATCTAAACGATAAAACCGTGAATTTAAAACCCACTGAATATGCCTGAAATGCTAGATCAGTGAAATGTAAACCCAGTAAAATTTACAGTACTCAACTTTAGTCAATATATCCGACGTCATTTTTAATAACGTTTTTAGCACTATCCCATTGGCACCTTACATTCGCCCTTATAACGACGTATTAGGTAAGTAGGTGTGTTTCCGATCTCAATACACGTAGTTAATGACTATCTCGGTAATCACAATCACAATCACCACGAAGGCCAAAGTGTTATAAATCCACGTGTTGATAAAAAGCAAACTGGTGATCTTCGCATAGACTTACCGCTAGTAACTTCAACAGTGGTTTCAGCCAAACTCAAAGAGATCGCAACGGCGGCGAGGAAGACGGTAATAAGTTTTGCCATGTTGCCTTGAACTCAGTCTAAGGCAGATAACCAACTCAACTCGATCTGATGATTCTATATTGTGACGTATTCCCATTGTCTGTCTGACCATTGACCTCTAAGCTTGACGTTTTCTTGGCTGATGTAGTACAGAATGTTTTACGGCCCTGAGAATAAACATATATTCATGTCGCTTTACAATCTTTGTTTAGACTGCAACTCACGGAACTATGTGTGTGTGTGTGTGTGGGGGGGGGGGTTGTATCTAACCACAGTCCATTTAGATGAAGGGACTGTGATCTAACACAATATTTACAACAATAATTGATGTTATTACTAGTATTTACATATCACACGTTATCAGGAAACCCAGATTTCACAAATAAAGTAGTAGACAATTCACGGGAGGTTTCATGAAAAAGGGGAGACAATACATGCCACACTCATGTTACTTCTATCTGTGTTTTAATTGTTCCAAGGGAAATTTTTCTGTCCTTCATTTTTCCATGCGTTGATTTGCTTATCAGTCGTGGTAGTTATGGCTGAAATAACAACATTTGTCAAAATATTTAGACGATAGGACAGCTTTAAAAATATGGCAGATACGTATATACGTAAGGTCAAAGGTCCGTTTTAATCAGATGATCACAATTGAGCGACTCGTGCCATACGCAGTGTAATATGATTTATGATTATTTTTACACACAAACACATACAGTAGATGCCGAAATATGTTCCCGTAAAAATGATTTTAAGATTTCTCCTCGTTAATTCCTACTTCGACGGCCATTTTTGATTTTAAACTGGTCATAATACAAAATGAGGTTTATAAATTACTAGTACAGTTAAAAGTTGTTTCGAACTTCAAAATAATTAATCAGAGGGCACAACTTTCAGGAAATTCCCGTATCAAAAGTGCGCATGCGTTAGCAGCGTCGAGTCTTATCCAAATAATACAATTGCAATTGATCTGTACATATACGCATTCGGTGCGTTTACTTACAAGCAGGCACTGAACACATGGCCAATAAATGGAGAACAGTCATACAAATAAAGATATTATTTATTGCAGATGTAAACCAGTAAACTCCAATAAATCTGTCAGTTACCAATAATACATGTATCAATAAATGGTTAACTAGCATTCGTAAACGATTAAAGCGGGAGGGTCGTCACCTGCGCACGCTCGGGAATCGAGTCCCAGGCGACGATAACAACACACGCCAGAAACGCAAAGGCTTATGGGTAGACGCTTGTTTGTAAACAATGACACGCTATGGCCATCTGACGCATGCGCAGGTGACGACTCCCCCGCTTTAAGCGGTTTAAATGAGATATATATATATGGGATTAGAATATGTTAACAGACAGACTATACAATATACTGCCCGTGACGTCATCTTATTCAGAACATATATATAAGAAGTAGTACAACGCCAACATAAATTGAAGATGAAAATATGAAGATCATCTATATAACATGAAAACCATAATTTGTTTTGGTTATTAAAATATCTTTGTGACCATTAAAGTCAATATTACACAGTGATAACTGGGAACAATGCGTTTAAAAAATGTGACAATTGTTGATTTTACCTAAAAGGAAAATACATGAATGGCCAATCTTAAATACAATGTCATTTACATCTTTTTAATATTTAGGTTATAATATAAATATTGGGACAATTACATACAAATTTAAGTACACATACAGGAAATATATCAATGATATTGTGTAAGCGGGCAAAATTATGTTGTATTTACTAGAAATTAGTATTTCACATACAGACAAAAGGGGGTTATAAGTCATGTAACACGAATGTGAATTTCGTTCGTTTTTTTTTTATTCACAATTCACGTAATTTCATGCCGTGTGGCTAATCAGTTTGATTATTCCAATCATATGTTATATGAATCTAATAATTAATCTAAAATCCGCCCAAATAATGAGTTTTTAACCCAACCCTCCGAGTTACAGGTGCAAAGACAACATGCAATAATTCACAGTCCCTCTATCTAAAGGTATGAACATTTATTGCGAAAATGAGTCTCTGCTGGTAAAATTGTTTAAATAAATAACTACTCTAATTATGTGAAAAATCTCGAATTCTTGAATAAACCACTAAGTTGTGAAAAACACATAGCACTGTCGATTTCAAAAATAGTGACCGACTGTGTACTGATCACGTGACAATGTTTTACCCATACCCGCAACGCGCTTTTGCCAGGGAAAGGGGCCAATTTACGGCCAATACAATGACAGTTTCCAGACCGGGATAGAAGAACTGTGACATCATGCAAGAGCGCATATCCGTCGCCATCTAGGGAGACAGTTGGCTTCACATTGGAAAATAATGCAGGCCTTAGGCTTACCCGAAATGTGGACGTGACTAAATTTCGTGTGTGACGAAATACGAACCTAATTATTTAGGCCAATAACCCACCTTTGGGAAGGTGTGCCAGGGCCGGCCCTAGTTTTAATCCCCAGGCCGATTTTAAGGCGATAGTTGATAACAAGCAGCTTATTGGCCAAAAGAAAAAGTTTTGCGGTTTGTCCCCGTGGATTCAAAAACTATTTGTGTCGACCAATTATTGACTCGTTCCAGTGTTCAGTTAGGTCTCGCCATTGTCGCAGAGTTTCTGTTCAACAGTTCAAAACAAACCATATCCAAAACCAAATTGAACTGATTGTTTGTGTCCACTCTCACACTTCCCGACAACCACCGTAACGATTCAAATCAATCTGGAGAACTCCTGAACGATTCAAGAAATCATTCCAATGATGCAAAATGATACACCTTCATCGAGATTTGCTCCGTAAATACATAAAACACGCCGAGTAGAAACTACACGTTGAGGCCCGCCATGTTGGACTCTTCTGACATGAAGGCGTGACAATGTCATTAGATTCATTGTCGGATAATTGATTAGATTATCTAAAATTGTGAGAATACTCTAATAAGATAGTCTTTTAGATCTAATACTAGAAACCATTAGGTTTATTATCGTCTTTCTCCGATAATATCCGATATCAATCAATAATAAGTCGGTTTTTTACTTGCCATTCGCAAAGGACGCTGGGAACCAGCGAAACTGCTACCCCCGTTGTGTCGTCACCGGAAGCGCTGTCCCAGCACAAACCTGTGTCATATGACGCCTTACTAGCCGATTTTGGCTAAAATTCCGCTCCGCCGCCTCTTTACAACAGTATTCATACGCGGAACTTGATATTGCTTTTTACAATTTGGGTTGCCTTTGAATCACATATTTTAGTGAAATATTGTTTATAGAGTGAAATATTATTGTCATACATAATTCAATCTTTGAAACAACAGAAACTAACACATAATAACGATAATCAAATTTGTGTTTGAAGTTGGAAAGTAGTTGCGTTATTTCCGGTTTCAACTAGTTCGAAAATAGAACGTACTTGAGCGCAATAAAATCACGCGTCCGAACCAGACTCTAGCAGCGTAAACTTATTGCAATTTGAGCAATTTGGGCCCAGTTTGTTCTTACAAGTTTTCTAAGTTTCATTTATCATTATTTAGTAAACAGGTCTCTGGAACGATTTAATATATCCGTAAAATACGTGGCAATCGACGATTGACTTCGAAACGTTCGAAATTTCGAACAAACTCCCGGCACACCTTGCGCGATATGCGTCAGATCGGTGTAGAAGCGTCAATGCTGCTACCCCTTCATATTAGCGAGCATAGGCACGCATGCGCACAGTAGAACAGACGAAATACATTTGAGTGCGCGAGACGACCCGATAACGTACAGTACCGTGAGCGCATTATATTTTTGGGGTGGTATTAGTGGGTTTCGATGGAACTGCGATGACACTGTA